AACCCTATGTTGCTTTATATCTTGTATGTAAATGTGGCCTTTGCAGTTAGTTTGAGCTAAAAGAGAGGCCCCTACAACGTTCAGAAGCCGAGATACAAAAGTTATATATTTGCGCCTGAGGGTAATTTAGAAATTCCCCCCTAGGGTTGCATTGGAACTACTGATAGAAATTGTGTACCTTATCAATTCTGATCCAGAATGACCATACAAAGGACCTGGTTTCTAGAAGAGTTGTAGACACCAAACTGCATACTCGATTTCAATTAGCTTCTAGAGTAGATTTTTCACTCGCTCCAGTGAAAATCAGTTTTTATGGATTTTGTCCAAAAGTAAGCATTTTGGGCCTTTATGACCTTTATAGTGTCAATACAAACATGTGCATTGCGGTCAATTTAAGCCAAATTTTGAGCCTCTAAGACTTTCAGAAGCTGAGATACAAATTTGATGAAATTTGTGCCTACGCCTGAGCTTAAAATTAGTTTTTTGCAGATATCTCGGAAACAAACAATTTTAGACCATACATTGATTAATAAGTTGTATATAAATGCGGACATTGCAGTAATTTTAAGCTAAAAATGAAGTCTCTATGACCTTCAGCAGCCGAAATACGAAAATCCCGTATATGCGACTGAGGGTAATTTAGAAAATTTGCCATGTAGGGTTGTCTCTAGCGATACAAATTGCGCACCTAAACGATTTTGGTTTAGGATGACCTAACAAACAACCCTTTGTTGTCAGAAATCGTGGACATCGAATTGCACACTCAACTACACACTGCTACTAGAGTATGACGGAATTGTAATGAACAAAATCCTTATAATTATTTATGATATGTTTGATTTCTTGTTAATGTTTGTCATTCAAATTTGGTAGACGGCCCCAACGTTAATGTGGCTCTTGCTATGTGTTGGTTCAGCCGAATTAATTATTATATAATCAAGTTTATTTTTCTCGTTAGTTGTCATCCGGCCAAACATTAAGCAACTTATATTGCAGTACCATTTATCATTTAGTATATCAAAATATGTCATTGTAATTTTGCATGGCTTAAATGTAACGCTTGATTTATATATATATAATGATTAATTGAATTTTCAAATAAAAATACTGGACATGAGATGACGAAGTATCTTAAGCAGCACTTTTAATTATACCTCCACTTAGAACTTGATTAGTCACGAACAATAGAATCATTATAAATCATTACAATAAAACATCTTGATCAATAAATGCCTAGCAGCACCAGACAGCGGCCGTGTACCTTTTTCGACTCCACGGAGTCCCTGATGGACTTTTGTTAATAATTTGACCGCAACCTTTCTTTCTCGAAACATAAATCCTACTGTACTTCATTACAGTATTAAGATAATATAAAGCAAATCATGTGAATATTTGTATCACGTTGCGACCCCCACGGTCGTTTTCACTATGTGACGATACAGGGGGAGCCGCGCACTTCGTGCGCGGCGGGTCATACAACGTATGACAAGTGAATATATGACTACGAAATAGATCTATAGATTTGTCCATAATATTTAATACCGTATTGATGGTTTTGAATTTTGTATATTGAATTTTAATGTGAAGCGTTTACTCTTCCCCCTCGGCAATTAATTAGAAAGTTAGATGAATGACAATAATTGCCAAATGACGTAGTAGATATAAATGTTCAATATTGTAGAGTGATTTCAAGAGTAGTGGTCCACAGGGGTCCGAAAAAGCCGTACAGGCACTTGGGTCCTTATCCTTGTCACTAGTCCCAATTGGATTCACTTAACACAAAACATGAACGTTTACAATTTAGACGTACACATTGGCACGATATTTATTAGAAAGCAAACAGTATAAAATAATACGTGCGTGCGCGGCTTGAGCCGCGCCGCATAACAATTTATGCGTTTAGGGGCTGGAGTACGCTTACCTGAGGACCCCAGGCTTTAATGTTGTTAAACAACAACCGAATAGAGGTTAGGCGGAATGACAGGCTGAGCGCGGCCCAGTAAGAGTACGCGTGTTTACTGATTAATGAAATGTTGCATTGTAAATATTTAAAGTTGACGATATATTATATGATTTAATAGTAAATTTTTCAAAGCTGGCTTTGGACTTCGGTAAAATTATAACTTATTTATTTAAAAGAAAAAACCACGAATAGTTTTAAATTTACATAGTCGTATAACTATAATCAAGTTAATCCTGTTTTCAAGAATGCGCGGCTTTGGCGGCCAGTTATTGACTTGTACATAAAATTGAATTTTAAATAGAAATGTGAATGTATTAAAATTTAAAACTTTCAAAACGGAGGCTTATAAATATTATTATATTATGATTGTAAAATAAAGGATAAAATTTTAAATTTGTTTCACTAATGCATTAAAAATTAGAAATGTATGTGTTTCATTTTGTTATTCACAGTATACGATCAATTAAATAACCAATCAAGTAAGGGGTCGTTCACATGTTACGTAATCAGCCGAGGGGATGAGGTTTCCAAAAAGAGGGGGTTTGTAGCGCGATGCATTACTTGGCCGCGCCGCGCATCTTCTCGCAACCACCTTCCGCCGCGCAAACTATCATTTTTACTTCGCGTCGAACAGATCGTTGTTGCTTTGCTCTATCCAGAGCCCTTGCGCTTGCAGTAGCGCGCGCCCGCCTCACGACTTGACTTGTGAAACAAGCGCGCCCACAGTGGCGCGAAAGCACATGGTTAGGTGAATTGTTGCTCTAACCAGAGCCCTCTCGCTTGCAGTATCGCGCGACCGCCGTACGCGTAGACACAGTAGTACGCATAGACACATGGCTATGTGAAAGATCGTTGCTTTGTTAATTCACAGAGCAACGATCTGGAAGGGTTAAGTAAAACAAAATTTAAGTAAAACAAAATATAAATTTTATTGCCGTTACAATGAATACCCAGGAAACCTTACCGTTAGAGGCCTAACTTCGGAAGTAAAAGAGATAGAAACGTTTGGTTTTCAACAAAATGTCCGTCTCGTAAAACTAAAGTAGGCTCCCCAGGAGCCAAATTCAAAACAATGCAAATGTAGATTTTGAATTATCGCGAAAAGTCATATTTTAGGCCTTATAAAACTGCGCAGCTTTAACTTTGCAGATTTTTGTTCTCTGATTGGCTGAATCGTTTCACGTGGTACGCGGTACAATTGCATTCTTGGAATAATTGAAGCGTGCAAATGCAATGAACTAACGAGCGCGCGCGGAGTTCAACAAGCTTTGAAAAGGCGATCATTCTGTAGTAATATCGCTAGCCGGTAAGGTCTGCTGGGTAATGATATTATAATAAATATAAGTAGACATCCGATAATAAACTTGTTAGACGTCCAGTACAACCCAAGCTGTCGGCCGACTAACAAAATAAAAAAGCTAGTATGTTCAGTATTGTTCATAGTTTCTCAAATGAGCATACTTAGACAACGGTGAACGGAAATAGCTTTAATTCTGTGTCATCTTAGAAACTTTACATCATTTTTGAGATACAAAAATAAATATACATCAATTTACATCGTCAATCAATAGATCGGCGAAATGCACCACTGGCATGGGCGGGCGGCCTCGCCTTACCTGGTGACCTCTGGCTATCATGTTCATAAACATAGAGATTAGGCGGAATGACAGGCTGAGCGCGGCCCAGTAAGCCTCGCCGAGCTGCGAAGGATTGACATCGTGAATCAAATCTTTTACTAAAATGACTACGCTAGTGTAATTTTGGTACTATAGCTGATAGCATTAGCTATGTGTAAAACTGATTATAGAAGGGGGAGGGGTTGTCGCGCTCACTAAATCGCTCGCCCAAACTTTTCTCATTTAACTGTTAATGCGCATTTTCGCATTGGATAAATCGCAAAATTAAGTAAAACAAAATTAAGTAAAACAAAATTTAAATTTTATTGCCATATTACAATGAATAATAATATCATAATAAATATACTTAAACTTAAACATCTGATAATAAACTCATGAATATTGGATATGCTTACGAAATGTAAAATAATTAGCTGTCAGGCGGTTTTATTCATTATGTTTATGATCATAATAGCCTGATGTCCCCAGGTATAGTAGTAAGGCCACGCTCATGATTAGCAAAAGATTGAAATCGTAAATCAAACGTCAAATAAGCGCAAAATAAATTGTTAGTTGTCAGTGTCCATTTAATTGTTAAAGGGTGATACTCGTAAAATAGTTGTTTCAAATATTAGGACCGCGTCGACGAGTCCAACTCAGCGCGGGTCTTGGTAGGTTATAAACATACACCATACAATTGACAATGTCCATTGTCAATAGCAAATAGACTAAGCCGGAATGACAGGCTGAGCGCGGCCCAGTAAGCGCTACTTTGAAGCTTTTGTGCCTAAAATTTCGAAAAGAAATAAAAGCTGCGTGCGCTACTTCGAAGAAAGTTAGACTAGTATTATCAATTATCTGTCAAAGAATAAATAAATTATAAAACTAATTTATACATATCAAATTGTATGTGTTTCCGGTGGAAATATAGCGCGCGCTTATATTTAATACGTTATATTTTTGCGTTTTGACAACTTCTGTTGTAGGCTTATAAACTATTATTATCAAGACATGCGTAGAGTTGGACTTGGACGGTATTGGAACAACTTCTTTACGAGTATCACCCGTGGTAATTAACAACTTTTGGTACCAATTGGTTTATGGTTTATACTTTATAATTATATCCTCCAGATCCAGTCTAGTCTTAACCTTAAATTTAATTGCATTGGAAATGTGGACATAACTCACAGTAGCTCTGATACGTCGGATTAGAACCTGTAAGACAGGCCTCCAGCTCGCCATTTTTGAGATTGAAGCAAATCGAGGATTTCAAAGTGTGCAGGATCAAGGATTTTCAGGTTGACAAAACACCAGTGGAAAATATTTTCGTAGGCTTTTCCATTTCCAATGTGTACTGACATGTAAATAATTTTGAAACTGATTATTTGAACAATTCTAATAGTGACAATGAAAACACCAGATTTTAAACTTATACTTATAAACTAAATATCATTATTACGAGTCGAATGCACATATCATATATCAGTAGTATGATACTTGTTTCAGACACGGGTCACCAAGCTTCCGGTCAAAATTAAAAGATAAACAACCAAAATGACATGGCATACAATTACAATTGTCCAGAAAACATCAGACTTAATAAAAGAATGCACCTTTTGTTCGCCAAGTAACCTTTAATACTATCATCACGTTCTAATTGCCAGACTATATATTCGGAGATACCTAGAAACAAATATTATAAACAGCCCAAGTACATTACATATACATAATATTATCTCGACTACATTGTAATTCATTCCATACTCTACCAATAAACTCACTTGCTATAATGAGTGGTAATCTAAATATAATTCCTCATATTACTAAATATTTGCTAGAATATTCTATAATAAAACCTGAAGAGTTGACCAATTCGCTTTCAAGAGATTAAGATAAATTTAATTTTGAGCCAGAGAATAATTATTGTGGATCATCCAATTAAAATTTTCACATGATATACACAAATTAACGAATTCGGATCGTTTTCTCGTAAACTTTGTGACTTTTAACATAAATTCTGGATCAAATTTCATTCAAATATTCCACAATTAACTTAAAAAGATATTGAAATGGATGGAATCTAAGGCAAAAGTTAATGCCTATTAAGGTGATAACCTAAACGAAGCCAGTTGATAACATACTAATGAACGCAAGATATTTTAAACAATTTACATGATGCGACATAGTTATAACATAGTTACTTAAATATCGTTGTTCACACAAATCAAATATACAAAAAAGTAGTCCAAAATTTCATATAACTCTCAAATGTTAACAACACAAATAGTATAATTAATAACAGAAAATTGCGGGCACAGGGTCAACGTTTTGATAAATATAGTTTCATTGTTTTAATAGCGCTTCAAGAAAGTACCAACTGCAATGCTGGCGGGCACAGTCCAAGTTTTATACTAAGATGTTAGCTATCTAGGGTTTCCAAAAACATTACCGAATGAAATGTTTTCTTGATGTGTAGTGTAGTAGTAAGATTCAAAATCACGGATTTTCAAGTGGATAGACATTTTGAAATTTTTGAGAGAATGTATCATATTGTGCTTAAAGATAAACGGTTTGACTCCTGTGCTACAACACTGATGCCAAGGCAACAAAAAGAGTTATACTCAAAGATAACCATATATGGTAGCAAGCGGGACCATATTTGGTATCAGGCATGCCGCATGACCATATTTGGAAAGAAACGCTGCGCTCATCTGGCATCATCAGAGTTGCATAATATATGAAGACTTCAGTTTCTATAATACAAATACAATAACTATTACAACACTTACTATCAAATCTCACTACTCAGACTAGATAAAACCTCAGAATACTCGAATAAAACTACAATTGTTATAATTACATAATTATAATTATACAACTTTAATCGCATAATTATATAATTATAATTATACAACTATATAAATTTATACTGTCTATTAACGTCGTTTGAAAACCTCCAATATAATATATCAACTATGTAATATGTTTCAAATCGTATCCGACTAATTTTGCACTCAGTATAAGAAAAGGTCAATACATCATATCGATGTTATTGATTGCGAAAGCTCAGGTAATAACAAAGACCTTTAAGTTTCAGATCAATAATTTAGACCATAAATTCCCATGGGACAGAAATTAACAATAGACAATTTCATTTTTAAATCGATTAAATGAATACTTTTAGCAATAAGAGTATCTGCTAATAAACTTCAAATCCCTTGACCAAATCATCTTTTTGGTTTATTGGCGTTAATCATGAAATTTTTCAAACAGATATAATATCTTAACGCAGTGAACGTATAAGCAATAAAAATTAAATTTTCAGTGATACCTCAGTCAGCTAAAGCTAAAACAAATGCAGATCAAAAAACACGTGACGTGAATGATAACCCCGTTTGAAGCGAACAAGTGACGATCACAAAAATTGACACAGTATGCCACATAAAGGCGTTCAGAACGAATTGTCCAAATACTTTCCAATACGACAGTATTAAGATAAAATTTGTCCGACTCCCTCAGCCTTAGATGCTCAATATTAACGCACTTTTAGACTGTGCTATAGTACAAACGTACAACATAATTCTCGTTCCGATAAAGCACCAAGGTCAAGGTTTGTATTCCAACATTGCTGGGGGTCGCGTCATTTTGCCATTGATGGCGGAGATATATCTCGTCATTTTCGCCACGAATGGCGAAAAGATTGCTAAATTTTGTCATATCTATATACATTTTCACCTTTAGGGGTCGTTCACATATTACGTAATCGTTTTTTCGTTTTGACCGATTTTTACACATAATTATTATTTTAAAATACGCCCCCTCCTTCCCTCTCAGTGATTACGTAATATGTGAATGAACCCTAAACGGCAAATATGGCTACTTAATTTTTGTATTTATTGCCAAAAATGTCGAAAAAAAACTGCAGAATTATCTCTTTCACCACCCCCATTGCTGTTATCTAGTTGGAGTCGGACCCTGTTTAAAATAAATCGATTGCCCACATTAAAATGATTCCCACATATTTGTGCTAAACGTTGCCACATAATCGAGATGCATACCCGAGGAACATGAACAGTTAATTAACTTATTTTAATATATCCGGAGAGGGGTGGGCAATTCTAACTTATCATATTTAGAAACCTTACTTCAAATAAACAGCTGTCAGACGTTTTTCTACAATCAGTATAAAAATAGACAAATCCGAACTTAATTTCCCTTAAAAATCGAAAATATTCTCACTTTTAACTTCATCAACAGTTATTTGTGAAATATATTATAGATACGACCGTCATTAGAGCATTATAATGGGTGCAGTCGCAAACATTAAAAATTCCAAGATCCCAGGCCTAGGCTTGGTCAGGCCTGCAACCCAGGAAACCATGCTTTGTAAGTGCTAATTTTCCATGGCACTGGTTTCACTCATGGCACTGTCTATGTTCTGGTGCACTTGTTGAAAGGAGTTCTGTAAATCGTCTAAGATTGATGAGGATGTGCCGTTCTGGGGTTCTGAACAAAAATATCAAGATTTAGTATTGAAGATTACCGTATAAGATTTTTTAGTAACATGATATATTCAAATACACTGCAGAATTACTGAAACTGTAAATTAAGTGGAGAATGATCGCAGTCAGCATTTTACCTTCCTCATTGATCCTGAGAGTAAAGACCAGGAATACAGGCTTGTGGTCCCCCACACACCCATCCGGTGACAAACTGTTGTAAACCGGCTCAACAGGCGAGTCTTTAACCGCCTTCATCCCAGCTGGGGACGCAAATATTCGGTCACACCACGAGGGACATCGTGTTCCCAGGAACTGGTTTCCACAAGATAGGTCCTCACTGTAAGGGTAGCTGGGAGGGAAACGGACCGGCAGCTCGTGCAGATCCCCCACAAATGTGTGGTACTCGTGGTCAAACTTTCGGAACTGAGAGTAATACGTGATTCAGAGATATTCAAACGAGGGCAGATAAGCTCATGCTACTACCATATATCCATATATCGTCATCAGCGCTTCTACTACTACCATATATGGTCATCAGAACCGTGTTTCGCCTCCCCAGTGTAGCCATGTGATCAATATTATCTGGTCTTATTTTACATACTAACATTGGAGGATAGGAATAGCTTCATATCAAGTTATGTTATGAAATAACTAGCTGGTGTATTAAGTTGAAAACTAGCGGCCGCCCAAGAAAAAACAAACCTAATCGTTATTAATAAAGTAAAAAGACAGGCTAGAAAAACTACAAACTTTAAAAAAAATATACCAATCCATCGAAATATATTTTAAAATCTGTCATAAGTATTGGATGATGGTACAAACCTCTTTAGCTGCCTTCATGGTAAATCGTCCCATATCGTAGTAATCAAACTTTTTGACCTCAAGCTTCAGAATGGTTTGCCGATCCATGGCTCTGAGGAAATCTATAGTTTTGAGATCGCCGCTGTCAGTGAACGTTTGCGATTGCGTGGTTCCGCCGCATAAATACTGAGTAGAGATATTGTTTGTTAGGATTACTGATTACTGAATGGGTACATTCAAGCATAAGCACTGCAACGGATGTAATTAAAGCTAAACAACATAAAGAGTAGCGTAGGAGATAAAAAGTGGTTTGGGACAGGCGGGAAGGTTTGACATAGCTTGGTTTAAGGTTAAGTGTGGAATATTTGGAGTTTTGTATTAAGGTTTGGGTTTATTGTTGAGGGTTGAATTAGGATACGAGTAAGCTTTGACTTGTGATGGGGTTATCTTGGGAATTTTATTTTTAATTACAATAAGGATTTTGTCACAAACCTCAATAACATCCTTCGTATTGAGCCTAAAGTTGAAGTCCCCGAACATATACATGGGGTTCTTGTGCAGGTCAGGATAGTCCGTCTTCAGCCTGGAAGGATATGATTTAAGCTTTAAAACCGACTAGAACGGGCTCATTTACAGGGCTTGTCATTTTATTGGGATATATGTTGACATATTTCTAGTCACATCACAGTTAAACCCCTGCAATACCCAGCATATTCCTACATTTTTCCTTTCACCGCGGAGCATGCTATTTCGGGTGTGGACGCCAGTATCTGATGTGAACATGTTGTGTATTCCTATGTATCCGAGGTCACACTTGAAGTGTGACCTGATAAGCTCATCACCCTTTATAGAAATGTCCAATATTTTGTGGCCAATCAATAAGTTCTCTCGCAATGTAATGAAAGCTAGTATCCCAAAATCAATATTTATTAACTATAATTCTCAGAATTGACAAGTAGTATCTTACTTGTTGAGAACATATTTTAAAGCATTCCGCCGCTTTTCAGAGTAAAATTCAGGAGACTGAAAATATAGGCGTTAAAAAGCGGAATCAGACAACCAAATTCACAGTGTGCATTGACAGGGCCAATTATGGAGGCGGAAAAGTGACGCGCATTGCTGAACAGTGCAGCTGTGTAGGAATGATCAATTAGTGGAATCACGAAAATAGAAGTTAAAAAACCGGGAGCGATGGTTATAAATGAATACTCACATCTTTGGCGGTGAAATTGCTTGCATCGTGAAATAAGTGGATGTTCAATAGATCGATCGGTCTGAAAAGATAATTATTTCTTTAAATTCATGAAGATGATCGCACAAGTCCCCGTGCGCGCGTTTTCTAAATGCCGAGCAGAGCATTCGAATCAGTAGTTTTGATAATACGTTAAACATGTCGCGCGTTACATTCAACGATGCGATGATGCGGCCTAAATAATATCGTATTGTGTCGCGTTTCTTAGGTACACAAAGATAAATGTTAAAGCATGTGTACCGCTTACATTATGTCTATACACGGATTAAAACAGCCAAAAACTAGGATCACAGAAATCCTTGCAGTAAGACAAAAGGAAAGCTAAGGAAATAACGCTGGAGATAAAAATAGAACGCGCCAATATTGACATTATGTTTTTAAATATTGAGCAGATGCCAGATCAGAGAGGGGATCAGAGAGGGGATCAGAGAGGGGATCAGAGAGGGGATCAGGGAGCTAGGGAGGGAAAGGTAGGAGGGAGGCCGAGGTGGAGGAACTCACTTGCTTCCAATGAGATATCGGCTATGTAAGTATCCTTTCCTGGAGTATCGTTCCTGAAATAAATCTAGAATTACAAGTTGTAAGACATTATTATTGTAACTAAATTATTAAAACAATTGTTCCACTTTATTAACTACTGTAACTCACCATTACTGCAGAATACCGATAGTTTTACAGTGCGACGGGCCGCATTGCTGACAATCAAACATCAAACAACGACCAATGATTTTGACATCATAATTTAGTAAATTTACTCCTACTGCTTTTTATAGATTTAAGTTAAAAGTTAACGAGTGGTCGCATCTTTGTAACAGTCAAAGAAGTATAAAATAACCCGACATATCTATATCTAAAACGACGTGCGATTGATTGACAATGTTATGTCACGTTCAGTAACTAAAAGTACCCAAGAATTTCATGGTTTGTATAAATAAGTCGCCAAAAATATGCATACAATCGTCTTGATCATATTCAGACTTAAACCCTGTAAATAAATACTACTTTATCGTTACTATTTACAACAGGCATGGCACAGGCTATAATTATAGAATATTGGAAGTTCTACATTCGTTTGATTGCTTTGACAGCTTTATACAGATTCATAGACAGAGCATTGACCTTGCAACAGCAATTTGACTGAATCAATGTACTGTCAGCGCGGCGGCAATGTACGACTATTTAATATGATTGAATACAATATAATGTTTGAATATATGTAAATTTGCATTTTCGTACTTGATCGATAATCTTTGTCAAACCATTACAATGTTATACTCTAATTAGGCTAAATGCTGCGGTGTAAGGGATAATTGAAATAATACCCTATTTTATCCATCTTAATTGCAAAGTCAGGAAATTATTGAAGTGCGAACTCGGGGGCTCATTTTATTGTAGTAGCCTTAGAGGGAAGAGGTAAAAATTATTTTCTATCGTCTTTTGGGAATCGTAGGAACTAAAATAGCAGGAAATCGTGTAGTGGTGAAAGCCCTAATATTTGGGATTGATAGGCCAATGTCGATACCACCCAACCCTTGCCGCCCCCCCCCCCCCCCCCCCTCTTCTCCAATCCTTGTGGCCTTCTAACAAACTAGCAGAAACCCGTCTAAACCTAAAGTAGTGACAAGAGACAACGATAACTATTTATCTTGACACCACTTGGGTGTCCAAAGTTCGGTACCTTTAATTTCTTCATACTGGTCAAAAGGCCGTATTCGACCCAGTCAAAAGTCAAAAAAGTTTCAATGGTATATCTCTCACGCTTTTCGCGGAAAGTCGTGTTAAAGATGATGACGTAGTGTCAGTGAAATGGCAACGTCCGACAATGGCGTTTCTCTTGTCGCTAATATACTATATATATCGTTTCGCTTTTATTATATAGTAAGATATTCAGGAGGTCATTACATCGGACAAAATCAAATCATTTTAATGATATATCTCAGTGTTTAATAACGATTTGAAGACACAGCCATGTTCGGAGATGACCTTCAAAGAATTGCCCCACATATTTGTCGTCAAAATACGCTAGATTTTGATTGAATTCTGTGAAATTTGCGATTTTTACCGCTCGTATGACGTCAAAGTGCAATTAGTTGCCAAGCAACGACACCCCTGTTGTCAAGTCAAATTGTGTTCATATATATAATGATATATATTGGTGGTTTTACGAGGTCAGGTAATTTGAAGTCTCGAACACATTGGGAACACAGCTTGTTCTCTCAGCCAGGTCTTCACTAATAAATCAATATAATAGAGTAACAAATTTACTGATATGGCCAGGTCAGTAAGTTGAGACTTGTGGTTATGGTGAGTGGTTATGGTGAAATCAGTTTGATTTCCAGTGTTCTTGATTGTTCTAGAAGTCCAGCCCAAAGTTCAGTACAAGCTGGTAATTTGCAGGCGTTATGTGGAGTGAGCTATGTGCCCATCTTTGGAGAACCCGGTGGATGTCCTTGCTGTACGGCAGTGTTAAACAAGGAACTGAAACCGAGGGGTTCCGTTCAGGCCCTTTACACTTTGTTTCTGTCTGGTTCTAATGTACCGTCACAATAGTGACTTTAATATATAATATCATATCTACACTTGACCACACTTCTCTCAAAAGTTTGCCAACTTGGCTCCCACCACTTCAGAACAGAGACAAACGATTGATGTTTGTCTTTAGTGTAAGCCTGAATCGGCTGCCAAGTAAACAATAGCTGATGAGTTGATCTATGTACACCGAGGCCAGAGGGCCGGGGGGGGGGGGGGGGGGGTTAACAAACCAACACCCATTTTACAGACTAAAGGCCTGCATTTCTGTATCAGAGACAGAAAGGCTGAATTTGGGACATGAAATGTTTCCTAGTGAGAGAATTTACCTAAGAATTGAGATCATGAAGTACAAGTCACTCACAAACTCCCTAGCTGTCCTTCATAACTGTACCTAAAAGTCAGTCCTTTTCTAGTCGAATCATAGAGTCCCCGTAATTAACTTAGGAACTCCTAGCTTGGAACAAAAAAAACGTTCAGAATCAGGAAATATTTTTGTTGAGAAACACTGCACATCAATTGTTGAGCAATCAGAGCAAACGTATTATACCTTAGATTACACTTTAGATGGTTCATCTTAAGTTCATAAAAAGAATTTAATCATTATCATTGACTAAATATCCAGTACCACGGCAGTAGTTGCGTGGGAAATCTTGTCTTATATACCGACAGTGCCGTGCGAGATACCGACACTCGACAGTGCCGTGCGAGATACCGACAGTGCCGTGTGAGATACCGACAGTGCCGTGCGAGATACCGACAGTGCCGTGTGAGATACCGACAGTGCCGTGCGAGATACCGACAGAGCCGTGTGAGATACCGACAGTGCCGTGTGAGATACCGACAGTGCCGTACGAGATACCGACAGTGCCGTGTGAGATACCGACAGTGCCGTGCGAGATACCGACAGTGCCGTGTGAGATACCGACAGTGCCGTGTGAGATACCGACAGTGCCGTGCGAGATATGTAAGAAATTTCAGAAATTTCTGCCCAGAATTTTAATTGAATTACATTATGAAACGCTCTGTATAACATCTCTCAAACAGGAGTAAACACGGTCGTGTGTAAATAGCCCACGTGATCAGAGACACCTTAAACTACACGTAATTGCCAGGTTACCATGGTAATACGTACACTATCCAGACGTATTTTAACGTATTTTAATACGTGTCTGCAGAAAACTTTGCTGATTTGGGGAGTAGAGCTTAAAACTTCTTAAATTGTGACAATGGAATGCTTGTTACAATTACAAGCGTCAGTTCCGTGACATGTTTAATTTTTCTGTGTTAAGCACGTAACTCAAACATAGCCAAGTGAACCGAATCTGTTTACGGTTTTAACTCAAACATGTTACTTTTTGTTCGTCTAATTTGTGATTTGCGCTTGAATAATGCGAGGATGATAAAATGTGTTAAAGAGCCGCTAACGGAGACGACTGGTTAGTACGCCAGGCAAGCTCACATTATATCATTATTTTACAAAAAATTACTTTGTCAGCCACGAGCTTGCACATTGTGCAAGTGCATTATTTTGGTGTACAGACTATTGTACAGACTACTGCACAGACTCTTGCACAGACTCGCGACAAGATATCTAGGAAATATCTAATGAACCAAATATGAAGACGCAAAAAAGGTTTATAAAATTCAAACATCATAATGTATATAATAGATCGTTACCCAGCAAGGAAAATGAAAGTGAAAGTGAACTTAGCTTAGGGAAGTAGAAAGTGAAAGTGAAAGTGAACTTACCTCAGGAAAGTAGGACTTAGGATATTTTATCCTCAGTAAGCAGGTACTCTCTCTAAAATCTTGAAAAAACACCTGAAATGGAAGTCATATCATTCATTTAGTTGTCACATCAATTAAAGTCTCAGAAATACTGTTCTTTAGGAATAACATCTCACTTTACAAGAATATAACATAATAAACTTCCCGTCCAAAAGAGGACTTAAAGCTTTAAAGATATATTATCATAGCATTGTATTACAATGCAATATATTTGTAGTGTACAAGATAATTATGATTAAGCGTTTTGTTTGATACTAAGTACACGGTACAGCCTATAATTATGACAATAGTTCCTTGAAAGGCTTGTGTTGGCGTAACGCCAACATTTTAAATCACATAATAATAATATTTAAATGTTAAACAACAATTAAAAACAAAGAGAAATCATTGAAGTATGACTGTCAAATGACCTCTACTCTAACATCTGATTAGCTAAACGTGATCACATGACTTTTACCCAGCTTCTGATTGGCTAAGAGAGAGTCTGCACGTACTTATATATATATATATATAAGGCCCCGTGACACCCTGGACATTGCGCTTTGGCGCAAAAAAGATGCCTGCTTAAGCTCAAAAGATGCATTTCTACGCTAAAATTTCTTAAAAAACCCGAGTCGTGAACGTGCATCTTTCGATTCTTTACTCGCATCTTTTGGAGTTAGTCTTAACGCCAAAAGATGCGCTTTAAACCGAAAGCTAGAATCGTAATTCGTGTCGTTAACTCAAAAAGATGCGGTTTAAGAAATATTTTGAAAATTTTAAAACGCGTCGCTAAATCGCATCTTTTGGAGTTAAGCTTAACGCCAAAAGATGCGGTTTTACAAATATTTTGAAAATTTTATAATGCGTCGCTAAAACGCATCTTTTTGAGTTAAGCTTAACTCTGAAAGATGCGATTTAAGGGGAGTTTATCTTGATTAAAAACGCCACTAAAAAGTTAAAACTGAAATCTTACCTGACAACACAGATTATAATAGTACCATTTTAACTCTCGTGCAAGTTTACTCCTCTACTGCACTGATTTTTATTGAACTTCCAATGTTCCAAGAACTGTCCAGAAGATAAATCAGTCAAAAGCAAATGCCTAAATAGCTAAATTACAAACCTCATCCACGCCCCCGAATGAATTGTAGCAACATATAGTCTAGTCGGGAGTTTTCCATATCAGCACAGTAGTGTACACTACCCAATTGTATTTGTACACTGTACAGACAGTTCTAATTAAATGCAGAAGAGTTGTTCCCACTTCCCAATTACAATCATGACCAACTCGAAATTGAGGATTGTATGCGGTACTAATTTCTGTAAAATAAGCACGGTTCATGTCTTGCAAAAATATAGTCATCAAAATTTTTGTCCACACAACACAGCAGTGGCGTGCATCCTAGAGCGCCAGCATTGAAGCCGACGATCGCATGTTCAACTCTGCGTACTGGCATGTTAATTTTTTGCTCAGATCACTCTGAGCAAAATCATTTTTCATGATAAATATAACATAAACAAAACTGACATGGGCCTTGCTAGATAACTCGAGCAGTGGTAATTTGCCGATGAATTTTAGCAAGCTAGTGAATAAGTAGATAGTGTATTAAAGATAAAAAGATAGCATAGTGATACTTACTAATAGGAAGGGATCAAGTAAAGGTAAATAGTCTCTCAATCATATCTAATACAACTAGCACGTTTCCTTGATTTTTGTAGGGGATTTGTAGGGGATTTGACCCCTGTAGGGGATTTATGTTCCGGGGTATTTGTAACAGGTTTAGGGGTTTAAATAGTTAGTTCCTGTCCCAACCCATCAGAAAAAATCAAGTTTTGACCTCCCAACCCACTCAGGCCAATCCCAGGGGCCACGCCCATCCCAAAATAGCTGAAATCCAGGTCAAATCAAGTTTTAAAATGTTTACCCCTGTAGGGGATTTATGTTCCGGGGTATTTGTAACAGGTTTAGGGGTTTAAATAGTTAGTTCCTGTCCCAAACCATCAGAAAAATCAAGTTTCAACCCCCCAACCCACTCAGGCCACTCCCAGGGGCCACGCCCATCCCAAAATAGCTGAAATCCAGGTTAAATCAAGATTACTATCTTTGTATCTTTAATACACTATCTACTTATTCACTAGCTTGCTAAAATTCATCGGCAAATTACCGCTGCTCGAGTTACCTAGCAAGGCCCATGTCAGTTTTGTTTATGTTATATTTATCATGAAAAATGATTTTGCTCAGAGTGATCTGAGCAAAAAAATTAACTTGTCAGCACGCAGAGTTGAACATGCGATCGTCGGCTTCAATGCTGGCGCTCTAGGATGCACGCCACTGCTGTGTTATGTGGACAAAAATTTTGATGAGTATATTTTTGCAAGACATGAACCGTGCTTATTTTACAGAAATTAGTACCGCATACAATCCTCAATTTCGAGTTGGTCATGATTGTAATTGGGAAGTGGGAACAACTCTTCTGCATTTAATTAGAACTGTCTGTACAGTGTACAAATACAATTGGGTAAAGACGAAATTCACGACTAGCTAAAAAGGACTATCTGAAAATTGAATCCGGAAAATCACTTGCCAGTTACAAAGAGGCTAGGCTTCGATTAGATAACCGATTCCAGTAATCAGTATCAGTAACCAGTGCAGACTGCAGAAGAAAAGAAGATATTTATCGCACTCCACTCTTTCTGCTGTTCTTACTGTGTTTCATCTCTGTTTCAGTGTCATTAACCGCTGCTGGTTCTATCCTGAATGCTTGTTAAACCGGGGACCTGTATAAATATATAAGTTACAGTTATTTTTTAAAGTTACAAATATCAGCTGATTTGCAAAATGCAGCAATTCAAGAATTCGGAAGAAGAATTTTGAAATTTCGCGCGAAAGTATTTCCCAAATCGCATCTTTTGGGGTTAAGGTTAACTCAAAAAGATGCCATTTGAAAACGCATTTTAAGATTTTACGACTTTATCCGTCAAACGGCATCTTTTGGCGTTAAGCTTAGCGCCAAAAGATGCAATTTGGGGATAAATCTCGATTATTTCAAGTCAAAATTATTTGACACGACGTCAAATCGCATCTTTTGGAGTTAAGCTTAACGCCAAAAGATGCGAATTACGAAAAAATGTCCATGCTGTCACGGGGCCTTATATATAACCTACATTTGCACCTCCACCAGCTCTCTTGTTCAATTGACCTAGCCAACGCCCCTCTTTATATACAGCTCCAGTAATAATAACGTTAGTCGTTGTACACTACGTATATTATTATAGTGCAGATCTAATGTATTAGCCGCTTTATTATTAGCTGATGCTTAGATTGTGCTCAGGCTCAATGTTTTATATACGGTGAGGGATGAGTTTAATTGAGCTTTAAATAAGGGTTGTTTTACATGGAGCACATTCTCTATGAGGTGTAGAGTAAAAATCTATAGAATTACTATAATAAGACTTTAATAAGCTATGCCTAATATATATCTATATATATGAATAATACAAATCCGATATATAGTAATCGTTCATTTATTTAGTGCGCTTATAAGCTTATTGACAACAGTCTTCCAACCGCGGTGAACAACCCCTAAAATGTGCAACAAGTAATCTTACAGAAGGTAAATGAAAATACTTACTTGTCGGTCAGTAACAGGGCTATATGCTCGGTCAACAAAATCCCAACTATGTATCGTTGGTAGAGAATTGTGGAACATGTACAATGTTCCCAGTGCCTGAAATCAAAAAATATCACTAAAGCAATGTTCACACTCCACAGGGATTAAAGGTTATGGAAAGTAGCAATAGCTACATTTCAGCTACATTCTACAATTGAGTTGTGCGATCAGAATTATACATCACGGCATTTTACTTCACAATATTGGACATAAAATGTAACCCTAACTCGTAGCGCGACACAAATTTTGGGACTGTACTTGTACTTTATACATTGTACATGACATAAAATATAAATTATGTTGTCAGTTCTACATACTGTAAACTTCAACTATACAATGCACGTGATTCATCGTACACGCATATTAACTGTCAAGGAATTACCGTGAAGAGAGATATATCATCACTATCATTGTCCAGATGTATTCTCCCTCTGTCAAAGTTCTCCAATACTTTCAGCGCCAGAAACTTCCTGAAACAACCCATCCGTAAGTGAAAGTGAAAGGTGTAACTCTGTGAAGATTCGTTACCATGAGATGAAATATGTGCTGATGAGATCGTATCCGTTATTCCCCAGAGACTTGCAGGTGATTATATGATGTGTTGCGTCACCTTGAGTACCGTGCTTTGAAACAGTTTTAAGTTTCACGTAAACAATGCCACATACTTTATACTAGTACTCAGCAGTGAAAGTGAATGTGAAGTATTTATGATACTATATAAAGAATAACATTAACATATAAGTGAAACAACTATTGTACCTGTTGTAGTTAACCATATATAATAAATAATTAACATTGGAAGTGAAAGTGAAACAGCCAGGGCACTATAAATAGAAGCCCGTCAATACACTTTTATGTTAATTCCACATTTATCTCAGGATTGTACTAATTATTTATCTACACGGTACACTTGTACAGAGAACAAGGACCAAGTAGGCACTTATTCAAATTTAGAGGCTGGTAAATTAGTCCCAGTTATTGTGCGTACTGTGGACGCTGGAGTATAATAGTGGGGTATAATGTGGGGTATTATACGATAGGGGATGCAAGCTGTAGAACGTAAGATGTAAGATGCAAAGTGTTAGATGAAAGAAGTATGATGTAAGAAAAAAAGAGAAGTAATATGATGTAAGAGATCATATAGTGCAAGATGTTAGCTGTAATGAAATAAATAACATAAGGTTGTAGCAGCCGGTGTGACTACTATCAGTGTGATACAGTGTAACATTAATTGTAGACCGTACAGTGTTTTCAAATGTCATTACAATAAACACCCAGCCCGACTTGGTGTGCTGTGAATGTTTGCTACACACTCATAAAGTGCACTATTTCAACGCCTCCAACTCCAAATTCCACAACTAGTTGGTGTGTGTGTGTGTGTGTGTGTGTGTGTGTGTGTGTGTGTGTGTGTGTGTGTTGTGTGTGTGTGTGTGTGTGTGTGTGTGTGTGTGTGTGTGTGTGTGTGTGTGTGTGTGTGTGTGTGTGTGTGTGTGTGTGTGTGTGTGTGTGTGTGTGTGTGTGTGTGTGTGTGTGTGTGTGTAAAACGTTTAACTCAGCAAAGATTAAGGAATGTCGACTTATAATAAATAAATATAACCAAAATTAAAAGCACAAAAAATTTTACAGATCTATGTCATAATGTAGTAATGACATATTTTGTTTCTTGAGAATGCGTCGAAAATTGAATTAGAAACTTACGAAGTTACGAAAAGCAAAAGTAGAAACTTACTCGACGAAAGACTCCAAGAGAGGATGGGAGACGTTAAAGTCCTTGCCCCCAACCTCCTGACAGTGAATACAGACTATCTTCGGCTTGTACTTGCTGACCACTGATGTTATGGAGGCTAGCCATGCTTCGATCATCTCATGACCCTGCGGGGACATGTTGTTAGT